AATCAGAGTCGTTGAACCAACTTTTTACCCTATGAGAAAATTATCGACTTCATATCTAATTGAATTATAACGTGTGAAGTCAATTATTTTCTCATAGGGTAAAAAGCTGGTTCAACGACTCTGATTAATATATATTATATAACAATAATAAATATTTAAAAATAATAATTAATAATGTATCTCTATCTCTACTTGCCTATCATAATTGCTGGCCCATTCGTGTTTCCGCTCACAAGATTGGGCATGATCGATGCATCGATCACGCGCAGCCCAGTCACGCCGTAGACTCTGAGTTGCGGATCGACGACAGCCTCGGGATCCCAGTAAGGTCCCATTTTGCACGTGCCAACCGGATGATAAATCGTGGCACTATAGTATCTGATCATGCATTCCCAATAAGAATCAGTATACATGGGTATATGTTTGCATCCTGGAAACTGATGCGAGTTGAGCACGCTTCCGAATCGCTTGAAGGCATCAGTCCTGCTCAGAGCCACGCTGATCTTCACTCCTTCAATCAAAGTGGCGATGTCTTCCGCTTCCTTGAAGTAATTTGGATAAATGAGAGGATAATCGAATGGATTTTTACTACGCAATTTGATTATACCGCGACTCTTTGGTCGTAGCAACATAGGAATCACGCTCCATGTGTCCTTATCGTTGATCGGTCCGAAAACAGCGTCGTAGAACTTTTTCGTTAGTCCATGCACTTTTCTCAGTTGTCTGCCACCATCCGAATTCGTCGAGCCGGAAACGAAATGCAGCTCAATGTCGGGAAAATCCAGCGAAGTGTTTGCGTATTTGGTGTTGACGAAGGCGATGCCCTCGACGCCTCCGAGCACTGTCAGAGGTCCGTTGCCCAGTGCAGCGTATTGGATCACCGTCTGCACACTTTGCAGCCGTTTTTCCACCATAGAAATCTCTTGGTTAACCATGAACGTGAGTCCACCCAAGCCAATATGATCCTGCAAATTGCTGCCTACCTGGCGATGCGGGAACAAATTGTATAAATAAATGAAATGGAGATTGCTTGAAAATTTGACTGATTTGTATTATCTTATATATGATTTTGAAAGTTTTTGACGTGTGGCTTTATTTAATAAAGTGTAACGATAGAGATGTGTAGAAACCCGAAAGAAAGAGAGAGAGAGAGAAACTAAAAAATTTTGCACCAAAAAATTATTGCACTAACCTTGCTATCTTGAATCACTGGAATACCGAGCTCTTGCAAATGATCCTTTGGCCCGATTCCTGATAACATTAGTAACTGCGGCGAATTTATCGCTCCACCGGATACAATCACTTCGTTCTTTGCGCGCACGCGAAAGACCTTGTCATTCTTGACGAATTCTACTCCGTAAATGTGTTTTGTTTTGGGATGTATCAGAACTTTCGTTGCGTGCGCGTGCATTGCCACATGTAAATTCTTCCTAAATCTGGCCGGCCTAAGAAAAGCCTTTGCACTGGAGCAACGACTGCCGTGCCTAATAGTACCCTGGGCGATCATAAAGCCGGTTTGAAACTCGCCGTTGATATCACGATTTTCGTATCCCATCTCTTGACCTGCCTGAACGAAGGCTGCCGCTAGGGGTGTGTGCCATGATGCCTCCTGCACCGTCAAGTATCCGCCTTTCGCGTGATACGGTGTGTGAATTAAGTAAGGATTTTGATTATCTTCAGATTTCTTAAAGTAATGCAGGATGTCACGCGAACCCCAGCCAAGGCTACCTTGTTGCTCCCAAATGTCGTAATCTCGCTTATTACCCCTTAAATAAAGCATATAGTTGAGCACACTGCTTCCACCCAAAACCTTACCTCTGGGCCAATTACAACGGCTGTTCTCCATCGCTACAAAAATTTAATAACGTAAAAAAGAAATTTGTCTATAGAAAAAAACAAAGAGATACTGTTTGAGTGATTTAAGGATAAAGAAAGAAAGACTGACGGAGGGACAACAAAAAAATCATATACCTAGACAGGCATCATCCTGTGCCTCAGTCTTGTATTGCCAATCCAGCTGACTCAGTTGAAGGTATCCGGCCAAAAGGGGTACGTCTGAGACCTCAGGTTCGTCACCGCCTGCTTCCAGCAATAATATGTTCCAATCCTCGATTTCGGATAGACGACTGGCAACTACGGCTCCTGATGCAAAAAGAAGAAGAAGGAATGACAGAGGAAGGAGATATTTATATTTGTATTACATATTGCGTTTGTACGAAATAACGAGAGTTCGGACACATACCTGCACTACCACTGCCTATCACTATAAAATGGTACGAGGATAATAGCATCTCTGACGGTACATCGATTGGTGGTGCTTCATTATCTAGAGCTTCATATTGAAAATAGGCAAGCGCCGCAGCAAGAATCGGAAAGAGCAATGAAAATCCGCCAGTTGATGCTGAGGTCAAACTTCCTGTCACAAAGCTTTCGATGCCCATTTTATTTTTTCACGGTATTTCTTATCAAATAACTAAAATTTATGACACATGCACGAATTAATAAATGTACTAATATTTCGTTATGCTCAATTTATTTTCTTATTATATCATTGAACAAAGAAACACGGTAATGTCTCGCGACAAGTGTATACGTAACGCGAAACTGTATCATGTATCTATACGCAGAAGACAAGTATACCACTCGGTAATTTCTTTTCTTTCCTTTTTCGCAAAAATAAAAAAGGTAATGATTGCGATATATTCTTACTTCTGATTAAAAGAAAAATGAAACTATGAGAACATATTTGGTATATCTTTTCTTATAATATAATATATTAAAATATATCAAATAAGAAATAATAAATACACATATACAATTTTTTTAATTTCTGTAAAATTAAAAACAAAGCAATATATACATTTTTTATGATTTTTATGTATAACGGATTTAAACAGATTTTCTGCGAAAAAGATCTTGTGTAAACTTGAATACTCTTTATTATTTATTAGTATAATAAGTAGTTTCTAATGGCGAATTCGATTGATGTGCACTCACTCGATGTTGCTCGGTGCCAGTGCACTGAGAGAAAGAATTTTGTTAATTTAGCAAGCCACCAGTACCTTTAACCGGTGATAGGTAAATATGTAACAACAAATTATGTTGTTGTGATTGCTGCTAGTCTGCTATACCAACCAATTATTAGTAACAGAAACAAACTATATAG